GAGATTTGCTTAACATGATAAATATCTTATAGAATACTATGCTCTAATATTTAAGGAAAGAGGTCATTTGATTATGTTAGATAAATGGAATCATTTTAATTTAAACATAAAAGCATTAGGGTGAGTCAAAAAGTATTGCTACAAAATTTCCAGTTCATACACGCATGAGTTTATTCCAAACAAAATGTTTAAACATGTCTGTAACCACTGGACAGCTATAAACAAGTTGTTTAAATAGTAATAAACCTATCTTAGTCTTACTAGGGTGCCTTAAAAAAAAAGGTCCAAATAAGCCATGGCTTCTGAGGGGCCCTGCTGGACCAGTTAAATCCCAACCACAGAGTTCAACTTAGGTCAGGAAGTTTCGGGGACTCCAAAGGGGCAATCTTGATAGCTTTTCTCAAAGGACATTGGTCCATCACAGGGGTTTATTATGAAACACTCTAAGAAAATGGAAAACTACACTGATAAGAAAAAGGCCAGGAAAGCTGCACTAGAAGAAAACTGTTTCCCATCATAACATTACACCAGCTCATTCTTTGAAAGCAGTGAGGGCTATCCTATGCAAATTTTATTGTGAAAACTACCATACAACCCATATTCTATCCCTGCAGGCTTCTTTTGTTGCCAAACCCAAACATAATATAAACAAACTAGAATACCTGGATGATACCAAAAATACTGGCTTGACATGGTGTAAGCGAAAAATCACAGAGTTAGTCAGGGAGGGTTGGAGCGATGGAACCGCCATCTTCAGAAGGCGGTTGGTCTACACAGAGATATGTAGAAAACCAAAGGCTTTACAATATGGCATTTATGTGTAACAAGTTTCTATAATTTTTGGAGCAATACTCTTTGACTAAATTTCACAAATCTAATTATCATTACTTAAATCTACTAATCTAACTTATTTATTACCCACCAGTTAATCAACAATCACCACTTGAACATGAAGCCCAGTAATTGTTAGGTTTTGGTATCAGGTATATATATCTATGATTTTGGGTGCAGTATTTACTTATTTAAATATCATTTATTGGGAGCACTTACAGCTCTTATAACAATCCATACATCAACTATATTAAGCATATTTGTACATATGTTGCCATCATTGTCTAAAATTTTCTATGTGAGCTCTTGATATCAGCTTTTTTCGCTCCCTCCCCTCTCATGACCCCTTAATAAATTATCATTATTGTCAAAGCTACACTGACTGCTGTCTCCCTTTCCCCATGGTTTCTATTTATCCCCATGGGGTGCATGTGGTTATGTGTCGATCATTGCAATCGGTTCCCCCTTCCTCCCCTCCTCTTCCCCATGTTCTCCCTACCCTTCTTGTATCACTACTCCCATTCCTGTTCCTGGATTTCATGTGTCTTGAGCTCGTAACTCTTACTTGTACCTGTGCACATGCTCAGTACAAGGCAGGACTGGGTTCATGATAGTGGGGGGTAAGGAAGCCCCAAGGAACCAGAATAATAGTGTTTGTTTCATCTATGCTATACTGCACCCTGGTAGACTCATCCCTTCCTTGGGACCCTTCTGTGAGGGGATGTACTATTGTCACAGATGGGTTTTGGGACTCTGCTCTGACCCCCCTTGTGCTCAACCATGTTTTTTGTTTGTTTGTTTGGGGTCTTCTGGTGCCTGTTACCCAATCCCATCAACACCTCAAGATCGCACAGGCTGGTGTGCTTCTTCCATGTGGGCTTGCTGCTTCTCTGCTATATGGCTACTTGTTTAACTTCAAACCTTTAAGACCCCAGACGTTATATATCCAGGCACCATCTGCTTTCTTCACATTTGTTCACGCACCCATTTTGTCTTCAGTGATCGTGCCAGGAGTGCAAGCATCACAGAGTGCCAGGTTGTTAGAACAAAGTGTTCTTGCATTGAGGCAGGGCTTGAGCAGAGGCCCAAAGTCAGTCCACTACCTCAGTGTATTGCCATGTAAATATATGTACAAGGGCCAATACCTCTATTTTCATGAATTTATGTATTTACATATGTACACACCTATGTTTCTACCTCTATCCATAGCTTTGCTTCCTAGAGCTCTCCTGTTTCCTTTTACCTTTCTCCTGCCCCACCATCGTGCTTGCCCTTCTGCCACGTAGTAATTCCTCTCAGTTAGACTGCTGTTGCTCCAACACCCCCAGGATCTCTACATCCTCCTCATTGTTGATTTTAATTCTCTAGTTGTTCCTGTCTAAGGCACTGTTTGCTAAACTGGGGCGCAGTACTTTTTGACTTACCTTCATATCTCTAATTACCAATACTTCATAATTCAAATATATCACACTAACAATGAAAGTAATTAAAAAGAAATGCATTAAAGGATATAACCAATCTCTTGAGAGAAAAGCAAAAAAGAAACCCAAACAACCAGCTCTATTTCTACTTTACATAGGTGTTCAGTCATGATACCTGGCACTTATGCTACCAAGTCCTCTAACAAGGCTCTGTAAAAAGGCTAGCCTAAGGTAAGCCAGGGACCCTGAGAGCTTCACTTTGAGTTTGCGGGAAGCTCTGTGCCTTCAGTATTTTGTGGCATGCTAATTTAGTGAACTGGGCCACAGGCAAAAATTACTCATAATATGTAAATCAATGTCCTGCAAAGATCAATTAATTTTTAGTTGGCAAATACCTGTTACATGTTTGAAGACCATTATCTAATCTATAAAATAGAAAAGATATCTACACTTACCTGCCTTACAGGGTACTTAGGAAAATCTTATATGAATGTATTTCACAAACTACAATCTATAATATGGAGGCAAATTGTTGTTATAAATTATGTTACCTATCCCAATATACTGGGGTTTCAAAAGCACATGGAAAAATTGTATCTTTTAATTCCATTTTCCCCAGATTTTTTGAAGCCCCCTCATATAATTGGTTACTTGACTGGCAAGATTACAGCTATGTTTCCAATATTGACTGTATAGTAG